ATGTATACAATATTCTGCAGGCCAGAAGAATGCACCTCATTACAGATGGTTGTGAGTCACCATGTGGTTGCCTGGAATTGAACTCAGGACCTTTGGAAGAGCAGGCAATGCTCTTAACCACTGAGCCATCTCTCAAGCCCCCTGTGATTTTGTTTTTTGAGATAGGGTTTTACCTCTCTGCCTCACAAGTATTTGGATTAATGGCATGCACCACCACTGCTGCCCTACCACAAACAGGTTTTGAACTACAGCATAGCAATAGTATGTATTGGGTGTGCTGTAGGGTTTTTTTTTTTCTTTCTTCTGAGACAGGGATTATCTGTGATCAACTCTGACTGTTCTAGAACTCCCTTTGTAGACCAGGCTGGCCTCGAACTCAGATCTGCCTGCCTCTGGCTCCTGAATGCTGGGATTAAAGATGCGTTCCTTAACCGCCTGGCTAATGTTTTAAAATTTATTTGTGTACGTATAGCTTTTCTGCCACAGTACCTATGTGGGATTCAGATCAGTTATCTTCTGTGAAGCTTGCAACTTGAATTCTGATGTCACACTTGACAGCATACAAGCCTTTATTTTTGAGAAGGGTTTTATATAGCGGGCACAGTGAGAGGAAGACCTGCAAAGCAGAGGGGGAACTAGGAAACCAAAGTCCCCAATTTTTCTTTTTCTTTCTTTTTTTCTAATATGTGAGTTTCTGTTACTGTATGCTATTCAAGGCCAGAAGAGAGTGTTAAATCTCTTGGAGTTGCAGTTACAGTTATAAACCACCATGTAGATGCTGGGAACTGAACCTGCCTGTGCTCTCTTAAAAGTTGAACCATCTCTCTAGCCTGGCAAATGCCTTTACCAGCCAGCCATTTTGCTGCCCAGAGTGAGTTTTATGTCTAAGAAAAAAAAATGAAAGTTTTTTTTTTAATTTCTAAATTTCTAGCTATTGGTTCCTACTTGTTTAGTCTCTTAGTCTTTTTCCATATGATGGCGGTGTTTTCATTTAAGTACTCCAGAATGATTGAATTTAAGATTTTATGAGGGATGACTAGAGAGATGACATAACAGGTAAAGTGTTTTCTATGCAAGTTTGATCTCAGTTCCATCCAGGAACCCAACTAAATTTAAGAGAACTAGCTTCACAAACTTGTTTTGTGTGTAGTGACATGGACACTGTTTCCCTCTTCCCCTTTCCCATTATAAGTATAGTATAGTAAAACAGTTTATGAAACTTACATATTTCTGTTAGCTGTTTCCTTACCGGTCTGGTTTTCAGTTAGAATCACTTAGGGAGTCTCAGCGAGGTATTATCTAGTACAGATTGGTTTGTGTATGCCTAGTGTATTGTCTTAAATGTTCAGGTGAGAAAATCTTGCCTGTTTTTGGTGGCCCCGTTCCATTGTTTTAGGGCCTGGGTCTGTAAAGTAGAGAGGGCTAGCTCAGTAGCAAGTAAGCAGCAGGCAGTGTAGGTACATTTTTCCTTTGTGCTGTTAACTGTGGGATGATGTGATGAACTATAAAAATAAACTTCCTGATACTAGTGTTGGTGGGGTAGTTTGTTTTTTTGTGTGTGTGTTTTCAAAATAGGATTTTTCTGTGTGTCCCTGTCTTAGAACTCACTCTGTAGATCAGGCCCATCTGCCTCTGCCTCCTGAGTGCTGCTAGGATTAAAGGTGTGTGTTACTGCAGCTCAGCTATGGGTGTGTGTTGTTTTTTTTAAAATTTTTATGTGTATAAGTGTTTCGCTTGTGTGTATGTATGTGCATTATGTGCCTGAGGATACCAGAAGAGATCTTCAGATCCTCTTCTAGAACTGGAGTTTTGGATGATTTTTGAGCCACCTTATGGATACTGAAATGCAACCTAGTTCTTCTGGAGAGAACTCCTAAGCACTGAGATATCTCTCCAGCCCCTGATTAGGGTTGTTTATCATAGCAACAGAAATGAAAATAGTACATATATGGTGTAGGAGGGTCTTCATTCTATGTGCTTTCATTGGTTGAATAAAGAAAACTGCCTTGGCCTTTTGATAGGGCAGCCCTTAGGTGGGCAGAGTAGAAGAACAGAATACTGGGAAGAAGCAAGACTTTCCCGGTAAGCCACAGTCACGTGGTGATACACAGATTAAATAGAAATGGATTAAGATGTGAGAGTTAGCCAATATGAGGCTAGAAATAATGGCAGTGTTTAAATGAATACAGTTTCTGTGTAATTATTTTGGGGCTAAGCTAGCCAGGCAGCAGAACATAGCCCGCTGCTCCTTCATATTACAGAGTGGCGCCCAATGTGGTCGACTAACTCCATGTAAAACCTGAGATTAAGACTGTCATGTTCTACCGACTGAGCTAGCTGGGTGGTGGGACACAGCCCGCCACTCCTTTTTCTTTTCTTTTCTTTTCTTTTTTTTTTATTTCTGAGATTGTCTTATTGTGTCCCCAAGAGGCCTTAAGCTCTATATCATACTATCCATACTGTTGTCAAATTTAGTTGCTTTTCAGCCAGGTGGTGGTCCCAGCACTGGGGAGGAACAGGCAGGCAGATCTCTGTGAGTTTGAGGCCAGCCTGGTCTATAAGAGCTAGTTCCAGGACAGGCTTCAAAGCTACAGAGAAAGAGGAACCCTGTCTCGAAAAACCAAGAAAAAAAAATTTAGTTGTCTTTCTACCTCAGCCTCCCAAGCGTGTGTATTATAAATATGTAAATTTTGTTCATCCACTATTAGCTTCACTTACTTTGATAACCAAAAAGGTATATTCCTAGAAATCTGTTTTATTTTGAGACATGGTTTTATTGCATAGCCCTGGCCGTCCTGGAACTCACAGTGTAGATGAGGCTGGACTCAAGAATCCGAGATAGGTTTGCCTCTGTTTCCCAACTGCTGGGATTAAAAGCAAGGACCACCACACATGGCTTCATAATTTGTTTAACAAGTATATTTTTGAAAAATACTAGTTATATAGTATGTGTTTAAGTTTGGTGCTACAGCACTCATTTGTTCCGAGATAACTTCCAGAAATAAGTTCTGGGGATTCAAACTTCGATTATCAGGCCTGCACAGCAAGCCATCTTGTTGACTCAACATATTCTTTTTTCCTTATATAATCTTTCCACCTCTACCTCCTGAATGTTGGGTTTACAGCATGAGGCACCAAAGCCTGCTAAATTACTTGCCTGTCCTAGTAATACTAAGTATCAGTCACTTAAAAACATATAAAATTAAGTTTTAGGGCCTGGTGTGGTAGCAAACACTTTAACTAATCCCAGCACTTGGGTGGCATATGAGTTCATAGTGGGTTGGGTTTTGTTTTTTTTGTTTTTTTGTTTTGTTTTGTTTTGTTTTGTTTTTGAACAGGGTTTCTCTGTAGCTTTGTAGCCTGTGGAACTAGTTCTGTAGATCAGGCAGATCTCAAACTCACAGAGATTCGTCTGCTGCTGCCTTCCGAGTGCTGGGATTAAAGGTGTGCCCTACCATTGCCCAGCGAGTTAGTAGTGTTTTATGTACAAAGCTTAAGGGTATTTAGAAATTACAGCACATTCTGACATCACCCTGTGACATGTCTTCTATTTCATAAAAAAAAGATCATCTTTTACATATTGGAAATAATTTAAAACCTAGTCCTTTAACCATGGTAGTCAATAAATTTGTACCTGAGCGGGGTGTTGGTGGTGCACACCTTTAATCCCAGCACTTGGGAGGTAGAGGCAGGCAGTTCTTTTCTGCAGGGAAACTCTTATCTTCAAAAACCAGAAAAGAAAACTTTATCCCTGTACAATTGGATCAACATAGTCAAGTAATCCTTAGTGCTGGAGGATTTGTAGGTCAGTGGTAGAGCACTTACTTCAAGCACTTACTTCAATGTCTAAGACTTTGCCTAGTATAACTAGCTGTTGCAGAGTTTGTACATAAGGATCAAAAAGGATCTGGTACATAGCCTTTTTTTTTTTTCTGTACCTGAAGGTACTACCTTTTAAATTGAGCCTGTTTTTATTTTCTGATTCTTGTTGTAAAGTTGCTGTTTACTTAAGTGGTTTAGGATTAAATTTTACCTATTTATTTAAATATTTATTTATTATTTATACAATATTCTGTCTGTGTGTATGCCTACAGGCCAGAAGAGGGCACCAGATCTCATTACAGATGGTTGTGAGCCACCATGTGGTTGCCAGGAATTGAACTCAGGACCTTTGGAAGAGCAGGCAATGCTCTTAACCACTGAGCCAACTCTCCAGCCCAATTTTATTTATTTTTGAGACAGTTTCACTATATAGATCTGGCTGGCCTGAAACCCACAGAGATTGTCTGGCTGTGTCTCCTACTTTGCTTTCTGAGTGCTGGGATAAAGGCGTGCACCACCACTGTTGGGCTTGTTTTAGTTTTTAAGCTATGTTATTGTTTTGTGTAACATTAAGGGGAACACGTGAATGGAGGTCAACTTGAGTGGACCATTTTACTGTGGAGATTCCAGTGATCAAACTGTGTTGTCAGGCTTGGGAGCAAGTGTGACTTTAGCTAATAAGCCATCTTATTGACCCAAGAATTGAATTTAATAATGCATGTGAGTCAGTAATACTTGCTTTATACTGGTTGTTTAAAACATAAAAACTTTTATATTTTTTCTGTTCTTCTGACTTTACATTCAAGCTTAAAGTAACTTCTATTTTTTTTCTTTTTATTCTTCATTGCAGAATTGAAGATGCCCCTGCTCCTTCTACCTCTGCAGATAAAATGGAGAGGTGAGATTATATGGTACAATTATGATCATAATTATGGTCATGATAGAAGTGAAGTAATATAACTGAGGGTAGTTTGCTGACTGCCTTAACTCATAGTAGTCAAATACTACTGGAACTGTACCTTTGGTCCTTCACGTCTTCTTCTTGGATGCCTCTAAGGATCCTTTTTAGGGATTCATTTAGATTTTCTTTTTCTTCCTAAAAAAATCTTCCTCCTTCCCCCCCTTTCTTCCTTTCTTCCTAGTGGTTTTTTTTTTTTGAAACAGGGTTTCTTTGTGTAACAACTCTAGCAGTCCTGGAACTCTAGACCAGGCTGGCCTCTGCTGGGATTAAAGGCATGCACCACCAAGCCGGGTTCATTTAGATCATTTTTATAAAATCTGCTTCTTTCATCATTCAACCATTGGTGCTAATATAAACGGTGGTAAGTACACTTGTATCCTTCTGACATAAAGACTTATGCCACCATGACCACTATGAATGGCTAGCAGATTATTGAAAAATACCTGGATATTTGAAGACATTTTGTTCAAAATGAGAACATTCCTTATGGGAATCAACTGACAGTATCTGTTGCTAGTGATAGATTTTGAGGTAAATGAAAATTAAGATTTTGAGGATTGGTTATAGTGATTATTATAAAACATTGACTAAAAGATACCTGGGGAAGAAAGGATTTGGCCTAATACTTCAAGGTCCATCAATAAGAGGAATCAGAGAGGGAACCATGACAAGACTGCTAGTGTTCTCTTTGGTTTGTCCACAGACTCATGGTAAGCTAGTTTTGTTTTTGTTTTTCCCCTTAACAGGGTTTCTTTGGGTGCCCTGCCTATCCTGGAACTTGATCTTGATCTGTAAACCCAGCTGATCTCGAACTCATAAAGATCTGTCTGCCTCTGCCACCCAAAAGCTGGGATTAAAGGTGTGCTCAGTTTTTTTGTTTGTTTTGTTGTTGTTGTTGCTGTTTTGTTTGATTTTTTTTTTTTTTTTTTTAAAAGGCAGGGTTTCTCAAGTAGCTAGGATACCCAGCATATGGAATCCTGAGACAGGAGTTATCCTGTGCTACAAGAGACGCTGTCTCAAAAGCAACAGCAGTAAGACTTAGAAATAATTTAAGATTTTGTAAAGTATTTTTGACCATAGTGAATTTGACAATATTCCAATATTTTAAAAATGTTCTGGTGAAGCTGGAGGTGACTTTTAAAAAAAATGTGGTTTGAGCTGTATTTCTAGTTATTCTAGGGGTTGAAACAGGAAGATTAATTGGTTTAGCTTTAGTTTATGGCCTTTCTGTGCATTTAGTGAGACCCATTCCCCATTCTTTTCTACTAAGCCCTGAAATTACAAGTATGCACCACTACCCCATCTTTTTTTTTCTTCCTTTTTAATGAGTATCTTATATCTGTCCTAAGGTGGTCTTTACTTTGCTATGTAGCTGAGGATGACCTTCCAAGCACTGGGATAAAAGGCATGTGACACTGCCAGTCAGCTCAGCTTCCTATTTATTTAGTGTTTTTTTTTTGTTGTTGTTGTTGTTTTGTTTTTGATAGAGAGGGTTTTCATGTAACATAGGTTTGCCTCAGTCTCCCATTATTTCCTGTGATGACATTGAATTTATAATTCTCTTGCCTCTGTTTTTCAACTCCTGAGACATATGCCATCCTACCTGCTTTATGCACTGCTTGAGATCAAACCCAGGGCTTTTTGTGTTTGTTTATTAGGCAAACATTATCAACTGAGGTATATCTGTCCTTCATCTTTTATTTTTTAAGATAAGACTCACTAGACTTGGCTAGCCTTGAATTTTTAGAGATCTTCCTCCACCAAACTTGGCTTCTACTTTGTGTTTTTTTTTTTAAACATTATATATGTGTACATATGAATTTGTAAATGCCACAGCATGGGTGGTGGAGTGTGGTGGAGGTCCCATAACAGCTTCTATGAATTTCTCATTTTCTTTGTATGAATGCTAGGGATTGAATTTAAGTTTCCAGGCATGGAGGCAAGCACTTTTACCTACTGAGCCACCCTTAAAGTTAATTTCTGTATTAAGATGTGAGATGAATTTTGGATTATTTATTTAAGATTTGGTTTTTATTTTTTTAATTATCTTTTCAGTGTATGTGTTTGAGTGGCTGTATGAGCTTATGCCCTGCATACATTCAAGATTCTGCAGGGCAGAAGAAGGCACTAATTTTGCTGCACCCATGTGGGTGCTGGGAATTGAACCTGGATCTTATGGAAGAACAATCTGTTCTCTTAACCCCTAAGCTAACTCTCCAGATCCCTACTTTTAAAAAAAAAAAAAAAAACTATCAGTTTTTTACTTCAGGATTATTTGCTATACAGATTATAGATTACACATTTCCTATTGATTGTTTGGACCTTTGTCAAGATTTTTAAAAAAGATTTATTAGTGTTCCTGATCTCATTACAGATATTTGTGAGCCACCATGTGGTTGCTGGGAATGAGCAGCCAGTGCTTTCCACCTCTGAGCCATCTCTCCAGCCCTCTTTGTCGAGATTTTAATTGCCTAAATTGTGTGGATCTATTTTGTGTTCTGGTCTGTTGTTTTTATTTTATGCTTTATACCATAATGTCCTATTTTTCCCCCGTAATGTCTTACCTTAATCACCATCTTCTACCTAAGTGTTTTTTTTTTTTTTTTTGTGGTATAGGGACTTGATTAAATCCAGAGCCTCACGCATGCCAAGAAAAGGTTTTAACTGAGTTTCACTGAGTTGTATTTCCAAGTCAAACTACATGCTTTGACCTTCCTTCCTTCCTTCCTCTTTTTAATTTAAATTGTTTTGCTGCTGAATGGTGGTGGCTCCTGCATGCCTTTACTCCCAGCATTCCCAGAGGCAGAGACAGGCGGATCTCTTTAGTTCAGGGCAGATTGGTCCACAGAGTAGAGTTCCAGGCTCCAAAGCTATAGAGAAACCCTGTCTTGAAAAACCAAAAAAAAAAAAATGCCTTTGTATATTACGTGTACTATGTGCTAGCACAGTCAGAAAGGGGCATTGCATTCCCTGGAACTGGAGTTAGTGATGGTTGTAAACTTCCATGTGGGTGCTAGGAACTGAATCTGGGACCTCTGCAAGATTAGGCACTTAACTGCTGAGCCTCCCTTCTGCCCCCCCCCCCTTTTTTAAGACAGACTTATTTTATAGCTTTGGCTCCTCTGAACTATGTAGACCAATCTGGCCTCCAATCATAGAACTAGGCCGCCTCTGCCTTGTGAGTACTGGGATTAAAGTTGTGTGCCACCACACCATCTTTCTGTTTTTAGATGAAGTCTGATAACTAGGCTTATCTCTATATCCTGAGTTCTGATATTATAGGTATCTATGACAATGTCTTGTTTATATAGTTATAGAGATGGAACCTAGAGCTTTGTACATATAGGAAAGCATAGTTAACATCTGTCCTCAACCTTTCTGTTTTGTTGTTTTGGTTGGTTGATTTTTTTTTTTTTTTTGATGTGGTTTCTCTTAACCCTGGTTGTTTGGAACTCTGGTTCCAAAGTCAGAGATCCACCTGTCTCTGCCTCCTGAGTGTACCACTACTACCCGGCGCTTGCTCGCGCTCTCTCTCTCTCTCTCTCTCTCTCTCTTTCTTTCTGGTTAATTTTTTCTTTAGCTAGTAAACTTGTATGACTTTGGGATTCCTTAAGTGGCTCCTTTTTTGTTGTATATAATAACATATATTGTAACATTTGTAAAGCATTTGTGACTGTTGCATTTCTAATTTCTTCTTCTTCTTTTTTTTTTTTAAAGATTTATTTATTTATTATATATACAACATTCCTCCATGTATGCTTGCATGCCAGAAGAGGGCACCAGATCTCATTTTAGATGGCTGTGAGCCACCATGTGGTTGCTGGGAATTGAACTCAGGACCTTTGGAAGAGCAGTCAGTGCTCTTAAACTCTGAGCCATCTCTCCAGCCCCCTCTAATTTCTTATTTGTGCCTATTTTGATTTTTTGAGTCAAGGTTTCACTGGTAGCCTTGGCTGTTCAGTAACTAGCTCTGTAGAACAGGTTGACCTTGAACTCACAGAGAGATCTGTGATTAAAGTTGTATGCCACTTGCCACCCTTCACATGCACAACCTAGCCTTTTCTTTTTGTGATAGTGGTAAATAAGTATGACTTAAGTTGTTTTTTTCCCTTCTAACGTAGATCTTGGTGTATAGTTAAAGCTGGCCTCATTTTCAGTCATCCTGCCTTTTTGCCACTAGAATGTTGGGATTACCTATCATCATGTCCGATTAATTTGCTAGGTCTTCCATAGCAGTCCAAAATTAAAAATTTATATTGTTATGGTTTAAATGTAAAATTGTATTCAGTGAGTTGGTTTAAATAATATTTGTTACTGAATAAAATATTTTTCTTGCAGTTTGGATGTGGATAGTGAAGCTAAGAAACTATTGGGATTAGGACAGAAACATCTGGTAATGGGGGACATTCCATCGGCGGTTAATGCATTCCAGGAAGCAGCTAGTCTTTTGTAAGTATATGTTCTATTATAAAACAGTATTATATTGCCAACCAACCTTTAAAAGTTTTTCTATGGGGAGGAAGAATGAAGACTAAGGATATAGTTAAATGGTAGAGTACTTGTCTAATATATGTGTCTAATCTTCTGAACCACAACTTTGGCTCTTTACTTCCCATGGTGGAGTTTTTCTTGTAATTCTAAGCCTAAGTATCACTTCGTAATTTCAGTAATTTTCCTGAGTAAGGTGATTTTTGTTCTAGTCATTACTGATTAAGAAGACGATTAAAACCAGGCAATAGTGGTGCATGCCTTTAATCCCAGCACTCAGGAGGCAGAGACAGGTGGATCTCTGAATTTGAGACCAGCCTGGTCTACAGAGTGAGTTCCAGGACAGTGTGGGTTACACATAGAAACCCTGTCTTGAACACCAATAAAAGAAAAAAGACACAATTTATTTTTACTCTTTATTATTTAAAATATGATTGGGTTCAATTAAAATATGATTGGGTCTACAGAACTTATAGACCAGGCTGGCTTTAAACTCACCAAGATCCTTCTGCCTCTGCCTATCAAGTGCTGGAATTAAAGGTTTGTACCACCATCGCTTGGCTTAGAGATCTCTGATTACTTTTTTTTTTTTTAAAGAAACTGTTGTGTTTGCAGGCGAAACACCAGTGAAGAACATAAAATAAAAGTAAATTATAGGGAAAAAAACAAACCCCAAAACAATAGTCTTCATTTCAGTATAACTTTTCATGATTCTTTTTTTATCATGTAAGTTCCAATGAAAGGTCTTATAACTGTTCTGGTTCACAGTGATATTTGTAGTGTGGCAGGAGGAATACCTATTATAAAATACCTGGTTGGTGGTACTTAAAATATACATTATATATGTGTGAAGAACATGTAACATTAACATCATGTGTTAACTAGCAATAAACAATGTTCAGACTAGGTATTTACTTTCTTTATAGAGGTAAGAAGTATGGAGAAACAGCTAATGAATGTGGTGAAGCCTTCTTTTTTTATGGGAAGTCACTTTTGGAGTTGGCCAGGTATGTCTTGGAAAGCCTCATTTTGTAAATATTTTATATCATTTTTAAAATATTTTATATCACTTTGGTCTGTTTAAAAATTGAAGCTTCCAGGGCTGGAGAGATGGCTCAGCAGTTAAGAGCATTGCCTGCTCTTCCAAAGGTCCTGAGTTCAATTCCCAGCAACCACATGGTGGCTCACAACCATCTGTGATGAGGTCTGGTGCCATTGTACACATAATAAATAAATTAAATATTAAAAAAAATTTGAAGCTTTCCTTGTTGGCTAAAATTGTTTGTGCAAAGAATGAAATTTTGAGGTTTTGAATTAGTAGAAACAATGATACTTTCAATAATAGTTAATGGTTGATCAGAGTTTAATACATGGTCATGAACATTCAGAAGTACTCTGAGCTGGCTCAAAACTCAATAAGGACTGTATGGAGGACAATAAGGAGTACATGAAAGTGTCTAGTAAGGAGAAATTTCTGCTTGTTATGATTCCACATTTGTGAATTTCTCAATACCTGGGGAGGCTAAAACAGGAGGATTAAGTTTAAGGGCAGCCTAAGCCTAACAGTGACCCTGTTCCAAGCCATTGTTTTTCTCTGCAGTTAAAAGGACTTACTATTAATGTTCTTGGAAACCACTCAAGAAATTTACTAACATGACTGAAATATTTGAGGCCATATAAAATGATGAATGATCAGTCTTTACATATAGTAGTTCTCTTATGTTCTTAATTTTGTGATTATTCAAAAACACTTAATGACTTGGTGTGAAAATGTTGACAGAACACTGGCCCTTTAGAGAAATGGGATTGGATGTGATATTTGGGAAATAGTATGTCCCTGATAAACAAAGAAATGAGTATTTTAATTCTTCATAATAATGGGTTTAATTAGGACTTTTTCTTACATAATCATCATATATATAGTTCAATTATTTTTACCCTCGTTTACCCTCTCATGCCCTTCCCATTTGTGTTAATACTCTTATTCCCAGCTGTGCCCCTACTTCCTGTACTTTGTTGTGTGCTACCAGTTAGTTTCATTAGGTTTGTTTATAGGCAAGAGGGTAGTTTATCAGTGGTTGCACACTAAAGGAAATGTCTTTGGCTTCCTACCAGTTGTTGTCAGTATATTTAAAAATTTTCAAGTAAGGCTGAAGCTTCATGAGCCCTTCCCATTTTCCCTGACCAAGTTGCTCGCAGGCTCAGTCCTGTGGCCATCTTGCATAGGCGATTACAGTTGCTGGAGAGCAGAAGAGTGTTCTTGTCTTATATCTGGAAATTATGTCCCCACCCTTCATTTCCAATCACACATTCCTTGTGCCTCTTCTTGGTGTCCCCTGAGCCTTGGGAGTATAATACATATGTCCCAGGGTGAGTCCATAACTATCATGGAAGGGAGCGTCACAGCAGACCAGCAGGCATGGCACTAGAGAATTATCTGAAAGCTTAGAACTGAGGCAACAACCTTGAGGTGGAGAGAGTAAATTGAGAATGTTACCCCTAGTAACAGTCCTCTTCCAACAAGCCATACCTCTACTAACTGGGGATCAAGCTATGAGCCTAACATGAGCTTATGGGGGGTGGGTTTCATTCAAACTATTACAAGGTGTTCACTGTGTAGACCAGGCTGGTCTTAGATACCAGAGAATTGCCTGATACTGACTCCTGAGTGTTGGGATTAAAGGCATGTGACAAAGATTTTTTTTCTTATTTTAATTTGATGTAAGTGTGGGTATGTGCACATGTGTGCAAGTGTTCTTCTAGGCTAGCGTCCTCAGATCCCCTTGGGCTGGAGTTAGATTTGTGAGCCATCTGTTGTGAGGGTTAACAACTGAACTCAGAAGAGCAGCACTGCTTTCCCATCTCCCCTGGCCCCTCATCCCCTTATTTTTAAAGACTAGTCTCACTTTGTGGACCTGGCTAGCCTGGAACTTGTAGAACTACTACTCCTGGTTTGAATATGTAGTTTTGTTTTCTTTTTACTTGATTATTTTTTTTTTGCCTTTTTTCCATGTTGAAATACATTGTTAGGAACTAGTTATACTTTTGTGCGTTTTCTTCTTGTAGAATGGAGAATGGAGTGCTGGGAAATGCCTTGGAAGGAGTACATGTAGAAGAGGAAGAAGAAAAAATAGAAGATGAATCTTTGGTTGAAAATAATGATAATGTAGATGGTATGTAGAGTTGCATGCTGCATTCAAGAGATGCGACGACCTATGGTTCCTTTAAATAAGTTATAGAAATAGGGTCCTTATGTTGGTAGTCTCTCCAAAGGTACTTGGACTGATGCAATAGGTGTAGGCTATTCTTGGGGTGGTGCAATAGGTGTAGGCTATTATTAAAGTGATAGCCTCTCTAAGACAGTCACTAAATTTATCTAATAACCATCATTTAAGTTGGTATATTTAAATATTAAGAACATTACTTTTCTGATGCATATTTATTTTTAAAATCATGTTGCATAGCCCAGTTATTTTAATATAGGAGTCCTTGGAGCACTTTTGTGTTTTATGCATCTTAGAAAATTAAATATTTTCTGAGTTTGGCTGTTAGAGCTTTACAGATCAAATAAATATGTTGAAGAGAGTAAGGAAAGGTTGACATGTCTTCCCTAACTGGTAATCAGATTACTTGAAGTGAATACATGCAGTTTCTATCTAACGAGGTTTGATTTCTTTTGCAGTATGTTGCTTTGCTAACTTGGATTCTTCTCCCTTTGCTTTTCTTACGGGGGCACCTGCTAAATCTTAGCCAGGCTATTTGAGGGTTTAAAGGGAATGCATTTCTAGTTTCCATTTATGCTTTTATTATTAAATCAGAGACATGTTTATGCTTCATGTTCTTTAACCATGTAGAGGAAGCAAGGGAAGAGTTGAGAGAACAGGTTTATGACGCCATGGGAGAAAAAGAAGCCAAAAAAGCAGAAGGCAAGTCTCTGTCAAAGCCTGAAACTGATACAGAACAGGAAAGTGAAGTGGAGAAGGGTGGAAGAGAAGATATGGATATAAGTGAGCCTGCAGAGAAGCTACAGGAAAAAGTTGAATCGACTTCAAAGCAGTTAACTGAATCCTCTGGAGAGGCAAAAGAAGCAGCAATACCAGAACTGAATGAAGCTGAGGTCACTTCTGGGAAGACAGAACAGGCATCATTGTGTGCTGAGAAAGGAAAATCAATTTCTGGAGCTTATGTTCAAAATAAAGAATGCAGAGAAACAGTGCTTCTGGAGAAGGAGGGAGAGGAAATAATGAGCATAGAAAAAAAGGCAAAAGAAACTTCAGAAGATCAGCCTATTGGGGCTCCAGAGAAGCAGGGCACTGCCATGAAGGGAGAAGCTGAAATAGTAGATCCCGCAGTCAAGTCGATGGGCGTGGGTGGGGAGGAACCAAAGGATCAGGTAGCTTCCTCTGAGAGTGAACTAGGAACGGCTGTTCCTGAGCAACTGTCAGGGCAAGATGAAGTGTCACCAGCGGTGGCTGCAGAGGCTGGGTCAGATGTCTCTGAGAAGCCAGGGCAGGAGATTACAGTTCTTTTGAACAATGGTTCAGTTGATGGACCATCAGCTGTAGGAGATCAGACTCCTAGTGAACCACAGACTTCTTCAGAAAGACTGACAGAGACTAAAGATGGTTCAAGTGTAGAGGAGATGAAGGCAGAGCTGGTTCCTGAACAGGAGGAAGCTATGCTACCTGTAGAAGAGTCTGAGGCAGCTGGAGATGGGGTTGAGACCAAGGTAGCCCAGAGGGCCACAGAGAAAGCACCTGAAGACAAATTTAAGATAGCTGCTAATGAAGAGACACAAGAGAGAGACGAACAGATGAAAGAGGGTGAAGGTAACCGGGATACACTAGAGCTGCAGTGGGTGGAGTCCATTCTAGATTTGACTCACTAATCATTGGTAAAAGTCAGCCTTCCATTCAGGATTTTCAGTCTGCCTTTGGATTAGGAAAGGATTACTTTAGGAAAGGTCTAAATGAAAACGGGGCTAATTTAAGAATATGGTGATAGGTTTAGCAAGTTAAATCAAGAACAACAAGTCTTTAGCTGGTTGGTAACTAATATTTTTACTAGTTAAAATGTAGATCTTTTGATTTCTGAAATTTGGCTAGCTCTCTGTAACTTGTGCCATACTAGCCAATGAGGCGATATGAAGGGTGGATTAGAAATGGATTGTGGGATAGGTAGGGAACTAATAGGTTAGGCTGGCAGAGAATGCTGAATGGATGTTAACTTGCATGCCTTTGGGTTTTTTAACTTACTGTTCACATGGTTTCTCTTATGTGCTGTAGGAAGTAGTAACAGAGCAGTAGAATCCATTGAATTGGTACACTTAAGCAGGCATGCCATTTAAACAAATGAAGGCAGTTAGCATTCTTGTGCCCTTTCCACATTTTGATTATAGAAATGTTTAGAGGTTATTCACAAGAATGTCTGTAGTGTATCCCACCCCTTTTTCAGGGAAAAGAGATAGCAAAGTACTTAGCTATTTATCTCTTGTTGCTTTCCTTCCTTATTTAATGCTTGCTTTGGCTGCTAACCAACTATAGTGTTAGTGGCTTAATCCTATTTCAATTTTATCAGAATTTTTATGCCTCTAATTACTAATTGGCACGTCTGACTTGAGTTGTGCTCAGTTGGGGATTCTACTGTATATGTAAATTTCATCTAACATGGGCATTAATGACTACAGGTCTTATTTCAATTAATATCTTGTATAATTGTTAGACTGTTTCAAAAGTTATCTATTTACAGGTGTATTTCAATTCATTTTTTTGTGTAATTGCTAGACTATTTTGAGAGTTGTCTTAAGTTGCAGATTTTTAATGATCCATCTTTAAGACTTGACCTTTCTGATAAGCATCTGCCTATATGTAGGTCCTTCCCTGCACTCCAGCCAGCATCGACACAGCCAGGGGTGAACTTGTCAAGTTCTAGTACTGGTGGGCTTCTTAAGTTTCAGGACTTCTTTAATAGAAAGCAGAGAATTGAATTCCTCAGGTTTCTGAAAACACTGATGTCTTGATTCTTCCTCTTCTCCCCTAATGTTGAGGATTGAACACAGGGCATCATGTGTATTAGACAAACACTCTACTATTGAACCAAATCTTCAGCCTATAAATAGGTGTTATTTGACTGATAAAATTTTCTGTATTTTCTAAATAAGGCATGGAAGGGGGGAACAGGCAGGAAGTCTCCATCATACCTAATAAAGAGAGATGGGTAAGTCTGGCTTTAAGGCTGAAATTCTAGTCCACCCTCTCTATCCCCCCCAAGACAGGGCTTCTTTTTGTGACAGCCCTAGCTGTCCTGGAACAAGCTCTGTAGACAAGGCTGACCTTGAACACACAGAGATCTGCCTGCCTCTGTCTCCTAAGTATTGGGATTAAAGTGCTAGTCCACATCTTACATGTGAGAACCTGAGTTTGAATCCCCAGAACCCACATAAAAGTGGGAATGTACTCACATCTATAATACCAGTGCTTTTAAGGGGAGATAAGGAACCATAGACAGAACTCCCAGAAGCTTGTGAAACAACTAATTTGGAACATAGGACAGATACCCTGTCTGATCTCTGACCCAACCCAAGACTATCCTCTGACCTATATAGATGCCATAACATAAGTGTACCCACATTCCCATATATACATCTCTACACACTGTTAAAACACTGGTGCCTGGAATGACACTGAGTGGTAGAATACGTGTCTGGCATGAGTAAAGGTCTGTGTTTGATCCTAGCAGCACAAGAAAATAGGAATCCGTTTCATGGTACTAGACTTTTTACGACTTGTGGGATAGGAATATCACTCATAAATCAATGTGTTCTTTTCTTTTTCCCATTCTCTTCTTGGTGTGTTTTAATTGTCATGTTAGATGTGGTTGGTAAGTGAACAAAAATTTAAATTGCTCTACTCAGGTTGTTTGTGCTAATTGATCTAGTGGGTATTTGATTTATGTATAGGAATTCCACATTATCATTTATTTGCTTTTGAGGAAGGAACTCATGAGGTTACATGAGAATTACTTCATGGGATTACATGAGGCACCATGCCTGGATTTGGTTAAATACTTGTTGTTGGGTTTTTTTTTTTGTTTTGTGTTTTGTTCTGTTTTGTTTTTGGAAACGGTTTCTGTCTGGAACTCACTTTAGACCAGTCTGTCCTCAAACTCAGATCTGCTTGCCTCTTTTTTTTTTTTTTTTTTTAAAGATTTATTTATTTATTATGTATACAGTGTTCTGTCTGTATGTATGCTTGCTGGCCAGAAGAGGGCACCAGATCTCATTACAGATGGCTGTGAGCCACCATGTGGTTGCTGGGAATTGAACTCAGGACCTCTGGAAGAGCCGTCAGTGCTCTTAACCTCTGAGCCATCTCTCCAGCCCTCTGCTTGCCTCTTGAGTGCTGGGATTAAAAGGTGTGTGCTGCCATCACCCAGCTTTTCATTAAATCTTTAGGTAGTAAAGATAAATATATAAAATTTTAAGCAGTATTGTGAGAGTACATGTATCTACTTCTGTACTCTTTGATTATTGTAGGAGGATGGGTGGAGTCATTAAGATAAATCTAGTCTAAACTTCGGGGCACTATTACATGAAAAAGGTAACGCTGGAGCTGGAGCCCTTAGTTGTTAAGAGCACATACTGCTCTTGAAAAGGACCAGTTTGGTTTTCAGCTACATAGTAGACACCTCACAACTGCCTGTAACTCCACCTCCAGGGCATCTTTCTGGGCCTCCACAGGGGTGTGTGTGTGTGTGTGTGTTGTGTGTGTGCACATGCGTGCGCACGCGATTAAAAATCTTTAAAAAAATGCTTTGGTAGCTCTACTTCAGAAGCACTAAATTGCATAGTCAGAAACAAATAAGAGAGCCTTTTTGTATTCTGGGAACTTAATAACTAGCTAGTTGTGGAGCTCCAGTCTCAGAGACCTTGTCTCAGAAAATAAGGTGGAAAGTGGTAGAAGAAGCACCTGACACTGACTTTTTGTCTCTGGACATATGCTACACACAATTGTGAACCTTTTGGTTAGTTATGATTTAACTATAGTTGTTAGCTACGTCATTATTTGCAAATGTTCAGGTACTGTTGGTTTGTACTACCAATTGGAAACATACAAGAATGTTCTTTCTATGCCTATTGTCATTATGAATCAGTGTTGATTTGCAGATAAATTGCTGAGACAGGCACTATGGACAGGTGTTTAGTCAGCACATGAGCAGGAGAGGCAGCCAGGTCTCTGGGCTTGAAGCCAGCCTGGTATACACGTCAAGTTTAAGAACAGCTAAAGTTAGACCTTGTCTCAAACAACAACAAAAGAGATGCTAAGACTTACTTTCCATGTTGGCATTCCTATAATGGGTTGTTGAGTGGTGGCTTTTATAATCTTTTAGTTGGAGTTAAAAATGTTGAGCATGCATGGTGGTGGCTCATGCCTTTAATTCCAGCACTCTGGGGTGGAGACAGGAGGATCTGGAGCTCTGAGTTGTAGTCCAGCCTGGTCTGCAGAGTGAGTTTCAGAACAGGCTCCAAAGGTACAGAGAAACCTTGTCTTGGGAGGAAACAAAACAAAACAAAAAAAAGTTGAGCATGCTGCCAGCTATATATTCTCAGCTACTAGGAAGATGCAGACGGATTGCAATCTTTGGTCTTTGGGGCTAGTTTGAGCTATATAGTAAGATTTTGTTTCTTTAAGAAGAAAGTGGAGGGGGCCCGAGAGATGGCTCAGCAGCTAAGAGCAGCCATTAGCTACTCTTCCAGAAATCCTAAATTTAATCCCAGCAACTACATGGTTGCTCACAACCATTTGTATTGAGATCTGTTTCCCTCTTCTGGCCTGAAGGCAGAACACTACATACATAATATAACATATATAAATGAATGAATGAATGAGTGAATAAATAAATTTTAGAAAACAGCAGCAACAAAAACAGAAGCCTGGGCAGTAGAGGCACACACCTTTAAACCTTGCATTCTAGCATTCAGGAGATAGAGGTAGGCACACCTCTATCTACTCAGAGATCTACTACTCAGAGGTAGATTTCTGTGAGTTCAAGGCCAGCTGCTTTACAAGTGCTATTTCCAGCATAGCTAGGGCTGTTATACAGAGAAATCCTGTCTCAGAAGCCAAAACAAACAAGCCAACACCCAGAAAAAAACAAAACAACAAAAATCCCCAACTAGCTAAATACATACATAATTTAAGTGATGATTGTGTCAACTGAAACAGCTGGTATTTTGAGTTTTAAGTTGACTTATCAATAATCTTATAAAAGCTTGGTCCTGACTTGTGACTGTGTATCAAAATAGGTGTAGGTATGGCTACATGTTTAAATGCCCTGGCTGTACTGAAACTCGCTCTGGAGACTGGACTGACCTCAATCAAATTCAGAAATTCACCTGCCTCTGACTTATGAATGCTGGGATTAAAGACATCCGCCACCAACACCTGGTTTATGTTGAAATCTTAAGAAACTGACTTGTTCATTCCTAGTTTTTTTGTTGTTGCTAGAGTCTGACATGCTCTTGGGAGAGTTGATGAAGACATATGTCTCTTCCCCATAGCTTCTTGTAAGGCAGCTAGTCTCTTGGCTATTGTGAATGGACTGGGATTATTTAGATTTTGGTCCTTTCAGTGTACTATTACAATGAATGAGTAAAACTTGTCTGAGTTTATGCAAGATTCTTGGAAAAGACAATCCTTAGTCTTTAAACTGTTGACATTTTGATGAATAGACTAGTTTAGATTTGAATTAGATGTTAACCTCTGATTTTAACTTCAGATCAGATGCTAACTGATGTGGGTTAGCCTCTTTCCTGTTCTGTCTTAGAATGTAGGTTGACAGATAATTTATCAGAATCTGACCAAGTAGAAAATACCTTTATTTACATCTCAATACTGAGGAATTTTTGCTTGTAGAAACTGAAGGCTCAGAGGAAGAAGACAAAGAAAATGACAAGGCTGAAGAAAACACAAATGAATCAGTTCTTGAAAACAAGGTAAGTTGTTATTCCTTCAGTAACTTTGTTACTGTAGGCCCATGACTTACTAGTATAGAAAGGTTCTTGATTAGTGCATAGTGATCCTTTATTCATCATAAAATGAAATGCATCATCACGATTATATTTCACTTACATAGAGACCTTATATACTAGGTGCCCATTTGGTAGGTTTTATGGAGAAGACCTACATTTTGAGTTGCAACAAACTTTCCTCTTTTAAATGAAAGTAAATTATACAAAAGATGTCTTGTACTTCTGCCTAATGCCAATGATTTGGATATACTTCAGTCTCTTCAAGAAAACGAAGAGGAGGAGATTGGGAACCTAGAGCTCGCCTGGGATATGCTGGATTTAGCAAAGATCATTTTTAAAAGGTAAAAACTCATGGTGCTTTTAGGTGGATTTGTGGTTGAAAATGCAAAAGCACTTTAGGATTAGACAATCAATTTTAAGGCTTTTCTAATTACTTTTCTTTTTAGGCAAGAAACAAAAGAAGCTCAGCTTTATGCTGCACAAGCCCATCTTAAACTTGGAGAAGTTAGTGTTGAATCTGGTAATGCATTTTCTAATTTTGCTGTCTCCTTAACTTCCATGTCCCCAATCTCTTGTTTCTATAGACAGAAGAATAGGTCTGAGTTCCTTACAGTGCCTAGAGCAGTGAAACAGCCTTGAAAATGGTTTATCTGACAGTTAAACCAATCTTAGCAGGGAAATAGAGACAGGAAGATCTTTGAGCTCAAGACCAGCATGGTCTATGTAGCAAATTCTAGGCCAGCCAGAGCTATTAGGGAGACCCTGTTTGGAAAGAGGAAGAGAAAGGTAGGAGGGAGGGAGAAATAGAAATGTAAAATGAGACTCCATTCCTGAACTGAATTCTGAATTCTTGATGTTTTGTCTTTATTAGAGAATTATATCCAAGCTGTGGAGGAGTTCCAGGCTTGCTTAAGCCTCCAGGAACAATATTTGGAAGCCCATGACCGTCTCCTTGCAGAGACTCACTACCAGTTGGGTTTGGCCTACGGTTACAACTCTCAGTATGATGAGGCAGTAGCACAGTATGGCAAATCTATTGAAGTCATTGAGAAGAGAATGGGTGAGTGAACAGCAGCTACTTTATGCTTAGATGATGCAACAATTTACTGTGGGGGAAAACAAGGTCCTTTTGGTAATAATGATTTAAGCCTGTTCTTTGTAGCTGTACTAAATGAGCAGATGAAGGAGGCTGAAGGATCATTTACTGAATATGAGAAAGAAATTGAGGAGCTGAAAGAACTGCTACCTGAAATTAGAGAAAAGATAGAAGATGCAAAGGAGTCTCAGCGTAGTGGGAATGTAGCTGAACTGGCCTTGAAAGCTACTCTGGTTTGTTGAGTTTTTTCTTAAAATTTTCTAAATAACATGGTACATTGGCTGCCCTGGACCTCACTCTGTAGACCAGGCTGGTCTTGAACTTAGATATATGCCTGCCTCTGCTTCCCAAGTGCCGGGATTAGAGGTGTGTGTCAGCACTGCCTGACTGTCCATGAGGGAGTTGATCAGAATGAGAGGTCATCTCACCTGTATCAAACAGTACAGTTGGTAGAAAGCATGCCATGTGCAGACACACTTGTTTAAAAGCTCTCACTGTTACTTTGTGTGGCCATCGGCATTTCTTTGCTTTTCAGCATAAATACTATGTTAAAGTATTGTAAAATATTCTTGACAATACCATATAGAAAAGGCTGAAGTCATGGAGTCTTTTAAACCTAAATTGCCTGGCTCCATTCCTGGCCACAGACATGCTGGGGAATGTTGTGTCGGGAATAGGACATGAAGGGTTTAGTTTTGTCTTTGTGTGGAAGACCTTGCCGGTGATACTGAAACCTTTCAATCAAGTGCTTGCTTGGTGGATACGTAAGCCTGGGTAGCTGGGGTTCTCTGCTGTAACTTACTGTGTCTGTTTCTCACAGGTAGAGAGCTCCTCTTCAGGTTTCACTGCTAGTGGAGCAGGAACCTCAGTCTCCATGGTGTGTATTGTGTGTATGTGTGTGTGTGTGCGTTTCCTTCAATAAGCCTACTTTGACTCAAATAAGGTTTTTGTAAATTGCTAATAACAAAGACTTATTTTTGCCAGATTGCCAATAGAAAACCAACAGATGGTGCTTCCTCGTCAAATTGTGTGACTGATATTTCCCATCTTGTCAGAAAGAAGGTAAAATTTACATGTATTTTTTAACCTTTTCTCCAGTCTACATTTGCGGGTAGAAAGTCTGAAATAATACACTAGCAATAATTGACTCACCACTCTTAGTGGCACAGTGTAACACTCATTTTCAAGAGTGAATTCTGGGCTGGAGAGATGGCTCAGAGGTTAAGAGCATTGACTGCTCTTCCTGAGTTCAATTCCCAGCAATCACATGGTGCCATTTTCTGGCCAGCAAGCATATAGACAGACAGAACACTGTGTACATAATAAATAAATAAATCTTTTTTTTTTTTAAAGTGAATTCTTTACGTGAACTGTTTCACTTAGCATACCTTACGTAGCAAACTCATGGCTTCTTAGCCTTGGGGCTATTTGGAAAACTAAACAGAATTAATTAGATGGGTACATTTTAAAATCTGACTGGTTTAGCATGCCTGTTGACACTCTTGCCAATAGTCCCAATCAATAATTCTTTCCCTGAGTGATAAATCTTCGCTTCTGTGTTTACTGACTGAAAGTATGTAACCTATTTGTACTCTTTAGATCTCTACCCCTCACTCTTCCCAATTCCATGTGTCCCAACTAGGGAAATTTTAAGATAAAATACACTGGGACATACCAGTTTATTCCTCTGTGTAGTGGTCAGCATTGCCCTGTAATTAGAGAGCAGAGCTAGTGAGCTGTGAGTCAGGATGTTCAGGATATGGGCACCATGGGGATTACGGGATTATTTTGTAGTTTGTGTTTTTAAGATAAATATGAGGCCTTCATAATTGTATCTTCAGAGGAAACCAGAAGAAGAGAGCCCCCGGAATGATGGTGCAAAGAAAGCCAAGCAGGAGCCAGAGCTGAATGGAGGCAGTGGGGATGCTGTCTCCAGTGGACACGAAGTGGAAAACATGGAGGCTGAGGTGGGTAGTGTTAAGACTTGGCCACTTGGCCTAACCTGCTGCTTTCAGGGCTGGAAAGCCAGGCCTTCCAAGTGCATATGGTATACTAACAGAAGGAATATGAATTTGCTTATGAATCCCTGACAGATTTTATGATTTTTCATGAATTATGGAAAGGTAAGACTATTTGGTTCTTTCTATTTGATCCCTCCCATGTAATATGTGAACTGCTGGCTTTTTCAGTCTTATCTTGTAGTTTTGTTTCACAGAAAAGTGCAAGCTCCGCTGTGTTTACTTGTGATTGAAGCCTGCTATGTTATACATCATGGGATGGCTTAAGTTATACCTAGGCTCTTTGTCTTTTAGGCTGAGAATCAGGCTAAAAGCCCAGCAGCAGCAGAGGGGACAGTGGAGTCTACAGCTACAGTTGAAGGCACTGCAGCTACAGTTGAAGGCACTGCATGTTAAGAGGGAACAGAACCTTTCTCCCAAGGGAAAGCGGTTTTGTACATAATGTATTTTTTCACTTTTGGGGATTCTTTTTGTATAACTTCAATAAAGATTGTAGGCAACAGCTAAGGCTTTGATGACTTTTTCTTAAATATATATGCCTTGGGGCACTAAGTTGTTTTGGTGTATGTATTTACTGTATATATTGCTGTTGGACAACCCACTTCCTATCTAATGCTTAGGTGATCAAATGTGGCTGGAAGCCTTCCATCTTCTGGTGCTATGTTTCTACTTCCAAATACTTGGCTGAATTCTATTGTCTTGCACTTTCAGTGGTGCTGTTCCTGGATTGGGGTGGGGGGTGGGGTCTGCCAAACAAGAACTGGCAGGAATGTACTTGGTGCTGAAAATGGATGATGGATATGAGCCAGGTCTCGGGTTGTACCGATTTTCTTTCACCTGGTTTCCAATTAAGACTATAATCCTATGCCGGAAAACTGATGGAAACACGGGAAATGATTCCTGAGGAAAACAGTTGGTATGTTAAATCAGAGACACAAGCTCTGACTGGAAAGGCTCAGATTGAGGTGTGGATAACTGGAAGAATCTGGAGCAGAAAGTGTTCTGTATATAGTAAGGTTGCAGTATGTCAATAACTGGAATTGTTATATTGTCTGCAGTTTTGCTTTAGAAAAAATAAATATGCTAATTAAAAATCTTTGTTCTGGAATTATACTTGACTTTTTTACAAGAAGGGTTCTGGGTTACCTGGAGTACCTCACTGGTGAGATATGGGGTTGAGTGACAAGCTGTTCTGTCAGTTCTGGGTATTTAGTTGAGGTGCTATCAGCCATCCCATTGAGTGCAGGAAGTGGGAATGGACCATTACTGAGCTGCCTTACACTGGCTCACTGGCTCTTTTTTTGTTTTAGTTTTTCAAGACAGGGTTTTGCTCTAGTTTTAGAGCCTGTTCTGGAATTAGCTCTTGTAGAACAGGCCTGCCTCTCCCTCCCGATGCTGGGATTAAAGGCGTGTGCCATCACCACCCGGCTACACTGACTCTTTCAAAGGCCACTGTTGGAGCAGCATAGAGCCTGGGGTCAAAGTAGTGTTGAGTGCAGATGGCATTGTGCTGAAATGACAGTTTTTTGTTTTTGTGTTTTTTGGTTTTTCCTCACAAATTATTTCTCTGGGCTGGTCACTAAGGCTTGGGCTCATCCTGACTTTCAACTTTGTATTGTTATATTCTGAGTCCTAAGGTGTTTTTCTTCATCTTTCCAGTTAGAATTGACTTGATATGATCAGTACAAGATCTTTGCTGATTGGATTTGTAGTTGTTCAGAATGCTATTCCAGTACATGATCTACTTGGCTGGAACAACTGGGCTGAGGTCTATGCTGTAATCTAAATCTTCAGGAGTTTCCTGTATGTTGTAAGCTTTGGATTGTGGATAGATTTTTGTCTAGAAGTACTGAGGAAGCTGGGACTGTAGTGAAATCTGACAATAAAGTTAGCTTTAGTATAGCCTAGCTATTTTCAGAGATTTGAATGCCAGGCAGTTACTGTGGATATCTGAAATCACTTAACTTCTCAATCTGTTTTGCAAAAGGAAAAATGTACAGGAAAAAAAAACCCTAGTTGGCTTAGTTGGAGTTTATCTAGGCTTTATTTAAAAAACTGCAGGTCAGGTTGGGCGGTGGTGGTGCACGCCTTTATTCCCAGCACTCGGGAGGCAGAGGCAGGTTGATTTCTTGAGTTTGAGGGCAATGTGGTCTACAAGAGCAAATTCCAGGATAGCTAGGACTATTATATAGAAAAATCCTTTTTCGAAAAACCAAAAGAAAAAAAAAAAGCCACAGGTCTAGAACTAGGCCTTCTGTCTCAGAAACTTGATGGGTTTGGGTCAAAACTGGTGGGGTCTCAAATGCTCATCTTCATCCTTGACACTGATGAAAGCCTCTTCTGTGGAAGGTCGGGGGTCTACAAAGCCAGAATTGTGGGTGAAGGAACTGGTTTCTGGTGAAGATGGATTGGATACCTGTAGAACATGAAAAGGTAGGGTTTTTTTTGGTTTTTTTTTTTTGTTCTTAATTTAAGCAGAACTAGAGGTAAAAAGATTGTGGAGTTTATCTGTGGACAAAGTCAAAGAAAAGCAAGTTTTGCCACACAGTGTTTAATGGGTAAATTTTAAGGATCAAATGGTTAATATAGCATACTCGCTAATAGAAGCTGATCAGTCATACTTCCTAGCTGCAGTGGATTCTTACCAGTGGTGGGTACAGGTATTGGTACTCATGGGCACTTGCTGGATTGATCTCTGCCAGCTTCTGGACTTCTGCGTCTCTTGCATTCACCAGTCTCAGAAAGAGCTCAGCTTGACCTGCCTGGGGAAAAGGAAGAGTGGTACTCCATCTGAATCTTGGAGTAGACCCAGTCCCTACCCTCCACACGTACCTGGGGAATCTCATTCTGGCCAAGACTGAGGTTGGAGTTAGTAGGAAGGACCTGAAGTGGGAGGCGCCAACGCCCACTAAGCATCTGCTTATCTTGGTCAAATAGCAATAGTGAGGCCCAAGCCTTTGGTTGTGGTGCCCATGTAACTCCCTGCCAGGCATGTAGTTCACAGATCAAAGATACCAGTGATGATGGAGGCAATCTGTAGAACAACCAATGCCATATAATACTAAGCCAAAATACGTTCTTGGTGCTTTTTGTTCTCAGTCCCCAGGAGCACCTGTGTACAGATTAAACAATGAGGTTAGGCCTTCATTACTGACAGTGACTGACCTGGGTACAGGCTGCCTGCTTCCAAGGATGGCACAGTTGCCCATAGGTCCAGGAGCTGATGGTAAGCAAAGGGCTGGAGGCAATGCTGTGGTCCCTCCTGTATTCTGTCCATCCTGGGTCAATCTTGTCATTAGCTGCACCCAAACCCAAGAAGCCTCAAGGCCCCGTAGGAAGTCATAGAAAATGACAAGGCCAGCCCTGAAGAATACAAATCTAAGCACACAAATCACCAAATCCCTCCCGTTCCCCACCTCTCCCAGTACTCCAACACTAGATAGCTCCTGTGTGTGTACTTAAATGTCTACTGGCTGAGTTAAAGAGGCTGTGGAGGAGAGAGCTGCCCTCACCTAGGATCATACGGTGCAGGACCTAGAACATCGGATGCTGGTAGGAAGAAGTGGCGATCCAGACCTAAGTTCCTTGTCATGGTTCCATTAAGTATCTGCTGTGGACAAGAGTTCAACCATACAAAACTGCAAATTGCCCATGCTCCCCGAACTGCATGCCAGGATTGCCAGCCATCAACCCAATTGCCAGTTTCCTCACAGATGTTGAAGTGCCATGGAAATTCTGGACATTTGTTGAACTTGGCATTGGGGGTGCAACTGGTGGAAGGAGGAAAGAGTTATCGCCCCTTCTACTCAGGTGTGGCCAGAGATCAGCTAGGAGCTGAGGCTCCGTGGGTCCTAGAAACAGAAAAAATTGGCTTGAGCTAGAGGAAGCCTTAAACTGAAGTGAAAAATCGGTAAAATAGTTATATACAAAGGGCACAAGGATAGGTGCATAGACACAAAACGATGATACAGATATGGGCCTCATTTTCCAGGCATGGACACTTCACCCCTTCTCCTGGGCTGAGTATGGGCTAGGAAGGAGTTGGGTTTTCACTCACCCCAGGGTGCCAGACTCAGGCCCTTCTGCAAGGCTTGTATTTCTACCTCCAGGAGCCGGTTTTCTGCTTCCACCACTAGAAGCTCCTCAGAGGCGGCACTTACTTTTTCTGAGATGAATTAAAGTAACGTGTCATCCTTTACACTATGTAATTCTCCAACATTAAGGTTTTCCTGTGCAAGTCTGAATTTATCAGCTGACAAAAGGTTTTCCTGCCTTGACCTCAGGCGGCTCCTACCCTAGTGGTGCGTTCCCTCTCACCCTTTTCTCCTCCCAAGCCTAGGACCTCAGTGTGCAAAGGCTCTCTAGGCTTGCCCCTCCTGCTCACCCTTGCGATTCTGACACCGCCTCAACTCCAGGGCTGACGCCTCCACTTGCAGCTGCCATATTTTGTCCAAAACTCCGGGGTCCCGGCCACCACCGCGCACGTAGGCCTCACGTAGGGCCCTAGCAGGGAGGCAGCAGAAAGCAGTCTCCCCAGCCTGAACAGCCTCCCGCCCCTACACTCCCCCCACCCCCCATCCCCGCGCTCGGGACCTCACCGGATCTCTGCTGGCAGTGTTCCCGGCTTGACGTGCACTTGACAACATCTCTCTGCCTCCATAAAAGAGTCTCTCTGGATGCTGACGCGGGGAGGTGATGTCACGGACCCGCGGCCAATCCCGAGCCCATAGCCCCGCCCCCACTCGCGCAGCGCAAGGCTCCGCGGGAGTCTGACCTGGGCTGCGCCTGGAGCGCTAATACGCGCGCCCCCAGCCTTTGCAGAGCGTCCCGTGTCCGGCCGGCCTCTGCCTTGAGTTCTCGGAGCTCGCGCTCCAGGCCGAATGGCGCGGATAGTCCTCCCATGGGTCCCGCTACGCCAAGGAGGCGCCGTTTTAGCTCTGAGGGAGACAGGGGCCGAGTCAGGGTGAGTCTAGCACAGCGGCAAGGCCCCGCGGCGATGCCTCCCTACCTCTCACCCTCTCCGCGGCGCTCCAGGGCCTGGCTTTGCGCTTCTGTCTCCGCTACGCGCCTGGCGCGGGTTCCCTGCAATGCACGCAGCCTCTCGCCAGGGCTTCCTGCAGTCCGCGAGGTGGCACCCTCAGTCGCCCAGGGGCGCATTTCCTTTAGGGACAGTCTCAGCAACTGCACCTGAAAGTAATGGGACCCGCTAGCTCTGAACTGGGTGATCTCCCTCAAGTGTTACCTAAGGCATGAAGTTTGTATCTACGTTGGGTATAGGTGGGTGTGTACCTCCTCTGTCAACCTCTTTAGAGCAGATTTACTGGCCTCCTCCTGCTCTGGATGGCTCTGTTGCTCTTGTGCCACTATCTGGGGACAGGGAGACGAAGACTCCTGAGAATCCTGCTTGCTGGAAAACCTAGCCCCAACCACTGACGACCCTTACCGTGGTGCCCCGTTCTTCCATGGCTTCTGAAGGCTGTGTTCCATCTATCACCTCCGGAGTCAGCCGACCAATGCAGAATCGCTGGGTGTGGGTGGCCAACAAAGCCCAGGAGCGGAAAACCATGTCACAGGACTCACAAGGCAGAAATCCGAACTCCCCAGAGTAATCGGCCATGGGATGGGATCCCTTAATGACACCAGTGGAGTCCTATAGAGAGTATGGAAAAAGAGGAGGGAAAGAACAGAAAGAAAAGGCCAACTCTTAGATCTCCAAGATCTGCAAATTTATGTTTATGTTTGGGGAGGTGCCCTAGCTCCCTGGGCAGCAAGTACAGGCCTAGACAGGCCAGAACAATGTACCTTGCCACCTCTGGGAGGAGCCCCAGTTGAGAAAGTCTCAGTCTGTTCCATCCATTGCATGAGTTTGGCCAAGTTTGGCAGCAGCTTCGATTTCTTTCCTTACAGAAAAGGCAGCATCTTTGCCTAACTGGGCCGTTATCACTTTGAACACACCATAGCCTCTGGCAGGCAAGTGTTGTCTCTATCAATGATGTTCTTTGAAGAGGATAGGATTCAAGTTAGTGCTCTTCTCCACCGCAGGGAACACTAGAAGCTGCAATCTGTGTGCCTCTAAACAAACAGAACTACCGGGCTCCAGCTGTAGACAGAATCATAGACTGGTCAAATCATCTTCAACTCCACACAAGTCTGTGCAGCTATCAGGATGTAAAGCAGTTATCAAAGCACTCCTTTTCTAAACAAGACAGGGTCCTAAAGGTGTTCGCTGCAAACACCCCAAATATGAGGAACAAGTTACAAAGTGTAAAAAATACTCTCAATTTACCTCAATTCCATGAGAAAAAGATCAACTTAGAATTGTTATGAAAACAAACTGGTAAATGGCTAAACCTTAATCTTTGTTTACTTCTTAACCCCAAGTTTGATGTTTTTTCCCCAGCAACATTCTTAACTCATTGATTTAAAGGTGCTTTCTGTTGTTGTTGTGTGTATGGTTATTTTGTATTTGTGTACCAAACGCATGCAGTTCCTGAGAAGGCTAGAAGAGGGAACCCCTGGATGTTGTATAATTTTAAGATGTGCTAATTTGTTTATGCTGTGGAAAATTTGTTGTAATGATGCAAAGATGTGTTGCATTTGTTTAACTCTGAAGCTGTTATTTTGCCTGTCTAAAACACCTGATGGTCTAATAAAGAGTTGAACGGCCAGTAGCTAGGCAGGAGAAAGGCAGGGCAGGTGGGCAGAGAGAATAGGAGGGAAGTAAGGAGGAGCAAGACAGAACCAGGAGAGGAGGACATCAGGGACCAGCTGCCCAGCTACCAGCCGCCTAGCTACACAGCAAGCTAGAGAAAGATGTAAAGAAAGGTATACAGAAATAGAAAAAGGTAAAAGGTAGATGGGATAATTTAAGATAAACTGGCTAAAAACAAGCCAAGCTAAGGCCGTGCCATTTGTAAGAATAAGACTCAATGTGTGTGGTTTATTTGGGAGTTGGGTGTCGGGACCCCAATGTCCTCTCCTTGTTCTATCTTGCTCCTCTGCCTTTTTCCTCAGTTTTCTCCTTCTGTTTTACACTCTCTGCCTGCCAGCAATGCCTATCCTTTCTCCTGCCTCACTATTGACTGTTCAGCTCTTTTTATTAGACAGCCAGAGAGTCACAGCTTTTACATAATAAAACTAATGTAACACAAAATATATCTTTACATCATTAAATGGTCAACAGTATAAACAAATTAACACATCTTAAAATAATATTCTGCAACACAAGTGTGCAGGCTATAGGCACATGTACAACTCAGAGAACAACCTGTGGGAATCAGTTCTCGTCTTCTACCACCTTGTGATCCCAGGGACTGAATGCTAGTTGTCAGACACAGGCAAGAAGTACCTTAATCCATCTTGACGGTCATCTTTATGATTTGCAAATGGCTCCCTTAATGATACTGCACTACAAGCAGCACAGGCTGCCGCATGCTCTTCGTCAGTCTACCTTCCTGGTCCTGCTACGTTTACCTCTCTCTCCTTTCCTCTGGTTTGGTCAACACAGTTTCTTTTTAGACACAACACTTAAGCTTATATATCATTCATCCCTGTCTTATCAATACGATATTGCTTTGCATCTACTAGGGACAGCAAAAGGACGCTATTACAGATATCTAGCTCTTAGCACACAGAATTTTGTTCTAAAGTTTCATCTTTTCTAAAAGAACGACTTCATTGGCCACTGGCCAGGCACGGCTCAATCATGCCCCAATGCACCCAGTTTTTTTCTTTTCTTTTTTTAAGACAGGGTTTCTCTGTGTAGCCTTAACTGTCCTGGAACTCTTGTCACAGAGAAACTCTTGCTTCTGCCTCCCAAATGCTGGAATTAAAGATGAGTACCACCACCACCTGCCTCCCAGTTCTTATGAAGTAGTAAACCGAGTCGGACCTCCTTTAAAACACACAGAAAGCACCCAAACCCATGCACACTGGTGAATCCTTGGCACTAAAACATTCTTTCAGGAAAGAAACTGTAGTTTATTATGAATAATTTATTGCACAGGTTTTTCTGCATCGAATTTTTGCTAAAAGGAACAAGAATGCAGGTGGGGCTGAATTCAGTTTTCTTCCAGACTTCTAAAAATATTTCCCCTAAAAAAAAATCCACTCTCTAATTTTAAAGAAAATATATTTCTTACACAAGACAATCCAAACTGATGCAAAATATTTATTCCACGTTAGTTATTTTATGCAGTAGTTCCCCTCAACAGACTTGTGACAACCACATCTTTTAAATCTGTAAATAATGTTATCAAAATAATCTTAATCTTTGAAATCTCACAAAAATTCATATTTTACAATCCACCCTGAATATCAAGGCTGCAAGAATAACATTTCCTATATCCAAATATTTTACAGCTGTACCCAAAAAGAAAACAACAACAACAAAAAAATAAAACAAAAACAACCACATATGCCTGGTTAAGGGCTAAGTTGCCCGAGCAGCCAAAAATAAAATATCCAAATTATTAGCATTAATTTAATACAATTATAACTTCAATAGTCACTTTGTCATTGACAATGATTGCTTGAGCACAGGGGTGAGTGCCCAAGGGCTGGTAGTGGGCACTGTGGTCAGAGCAGCATCTCCCTGCATCTCTGCACTGCCAGCTCCCACTTGTGCACGGCCCCACAGGTACTGTGTGTGTGCTTAAAAAATTCCACCACACAAATGTCTCTCTATTAAGCAGATAACAAAGAATAACAACAAAAGTTAAGCAAGACAATTGCTCTCTCTTTGGGATATGATTATTTCCCTTGTGCATGAAGTATTCAACAACATAAGAAAAGGAAAAGAACACTTTTATATTCTCTAAACACAAAGCTGAGCTCAGTGGGGCAGGTCAATGGTGAGCACTTATATTTCTACTTCCAGGCATCGTCATCTGACGTCTCACTGCTGCTTGTTTCTGTGTCGGAATCCTCACCCTCTGCATTCATAGTGCTTCTCCACGGGGAGAACAGGCTGGAACTGCGGCTCAGCAACAAGCTGTTTTTTCCAAACCCATTTCTTCGTAGCTATGGAACACAGGAGAGAAAGAAAACATTTCTAACATCTCTTAAAGAAGTACTTTTCAAACTTAAATGCAAAGATGAACCTTACAAGGATTTTCTCTGTTTAATTTAGAAACAGGGCCTTAACTATGTAGCCCTGGATCTCCCTAAGTAGACCATGCCAGCCTCTGCCTCAAGTGCTGGGCTGAGCTTGAAGATGTATGCTACTACACCTGGGTCATCCAATCAAGCCTTTTTTTTTTTTTTTTAAAGTCACAGTCTAAGCAGGGGAATGGTGGCGCACACCTTTAACTCTATTACTTGGAGGCAGAGACAGGTGGATCTTGGTGAGTTCGAGGCCAGCCCAGTCTACAAAGTGGGTTCCAAGAAACCCAAAACAAAAAAACACCACCACCACCACCACAAAATCACAGTCTAAGCATGTACGATCTGTGGGGTTTTAGAGCCCTATTTCAAACAGTTCTAAGTGGTAAATCTTATGTCAGCCTGTACACTGGCTCCATTATGAGATTTCCCAGGTATCATTTATGCTTTAAATATTATCATTATTACTGCCCCCCCCCCCAGTTTCTCTGTGTATCCACATTGATTGTCCTGGAACTCTCTGTAGTTCAGGATGGCAAACTCAGAGACCTGCCTGCTTCTGCCTCCTGAGTGCTGGGGATTAAAGGCATGTGCCACCACTGCTCAGCCAAGATTTATTTTTCTCATCTTTTATTTATTTTACACGCCAACCACAGTTTCCGTCCCTCCTCCCACCTCTTTTCTATTCGGCCCCCACCACCCACTCCTCAGAAAGGGTAAGACTTCCCAAGAGCAGACAGCAAAGCCTGGCATATCAAGCTGAGGCAGGACTAGGCTCCTCACCCCTGCATGAAGGCTGAGCAACGTATCCCACCATAGGGAATGTGTTTCAAAAAGCCATCTCATGTACCAGTGACAGATCCTGGTCCCACTTCAGTCAAGAATTTTATTTTTAATTATGTGTGTGGTATCTATGGAAGCTAGACACCTCAAATTCTTTTGAGCTGGAGTTACAGGTAGTTGTGAGCCAAAATGGCTGCTAAGAAACGAACTCAGGTCCTAGGCAAGTACTGGATGCCCTCTTAACCACCTGGAAATCTCTCTCTAGCCCACTGTCTATGCTGCAGAGAGAAACAAATGAGGTCTGTAGAGATGTCATTTCTTTTGTTAATTTTTGTATTATAAACCTCGGATCTGGTAATGTTTTACTCTGTTAAAATCTAAGCATTAACCGAGTCAATTTACATAAGCTTTTTGGTTCCTTAGCTCTGGTCAAAATGCCAGAAGGACAGGGATGGTTTTCCTAAAGAATCAGAGCAACCCTATTGGTTCTGGTAAGGGATTAAGAGCTGTGAACATGGAACCTGTTACTTTCCAAATCTGCTCACGGGCCTGGCCTGTGAGATTCCTACTGTACAGGCAGTGTGACACCCAATACCCTGTTTCTACAGTGGTAACTTAAGTCTTTCTATTTATTTTTATGTTCATTGGTGTTTTGTCTACATGTACACCTGTGTGAGGATGTGATGGTGTCAGAAGCCCTGCAACAGGAGTTACAGTCGAGCTGCCGTGTGGGTGCTGGGAATTGAACCCAGTCCTCTGGAAGAGTAGTCAGTGCTCTTAACCGCTGAGCCAATCTCTCCGGGAACTCAATGCAAACCAGGCTAGGATTAAAGTCATGTATCACCACCATAACTGGTGAGAATCTGTCTAAAGACAGGGCAAGAGATGCTAAGCAGTTAGCTCAGTGTCAGGGAAGGCTCAGGGATGGGTGCGCACCTGCTCTGTTCTCATGTGGAACTCCTTGAGCTCATCTTCTGTGAGTGGAAGGCAACTCTCATCGTTTTCCGGATATTCCTGCCATCCCATTGCTTTTAATAACCTGGAGGAGGCAAAACAACAGAGAAGAAAACATGATGCTAGTAAGCTTGACCACGAAGCCTACGAGCAACCATGGGAAATGCCTGCCCAAATCCAATGGATGTTACAGAAGGAATTTTGATTCATCAAAGCAGGACAATTTACTCAGTTGCTCATAATTAAA